TTGGGTGCTGAAGAACCTGCATACTACAGCGAGAGCACCTTGATTTTTGAAACCCTCGACTTAGGAGCCGTGCAGAAACTAATGGTAAAATTAGATCATCGAGCGTCAAGGTAATCAATCTTCGCCACGCGACACCTTCTTCTCGATCTTTTTAAGTGCGCACGACGACTTCCTTAAAAAAAAGGCGGAAATGAGCAGGGGCAGGGGATGAAAAATTCGACTGGTTCTTTTTTATATTACTCGGCATGGAAAGAGGGGATGTTGTTACCGCGAACAATAGGAGCCCTGATTAATTAGAGTTGCGAACTAATGATTGCGACACTTCCCCGGCGGAAGGCTCTCCTATTTCCTTCTCGTCGACACCTCGAACCTGCAAATAGGTACCTTCCGAGGTCGACTTGCAGCTTCTTTGAAATGCTATTTTCGGTATTCGTCCGATTTCCTCTCAGATGCGATAGCGCTAAGATGACTCGATTATATTTTGTGGCAGAACGACATGCGATTTACAGCATCGATTAGTTTCATTTTTTTCAGCTTTTCGTCATTTTTCTCGAATTTTGAGATCGCAATTCTGTTTTCAAGGGACTAAAGAATTCACAGACCATTTTGACAAACAAATTCAACGTAATAAAGGCGTAGTTTTTTTGGAGGAAAAATATCGCATTCGATACTGAAATTGAAACTGCACTCGAATGCGATCTTTTTCCTCTAGAAGAGCCACGCCTTTATTACGTTGAATTTGTTTGTTAAAATTGGTAAGTGAGTGCTTTAGTCTCCTGACAACAGAATTGCGATCTCAAAATTTGAGAAAAATGACGAGTATCTGAACAAATGGAACCAGTTGATGCGATATATCGCATGCCGTTCTGACACAAAATATGGCATCCATCGAATCACCTTAAGCTAAGGAAGATCTCTTTTGTGTTAGTGAAATGCCAACAAAAATATCATAGTCTCCCTTTGATGAGGCATTGTGGGCTAGGAAATATACAAAGTTGAGGAGTGAGTTGCGTGAGATTGCAGTTGTGTATGGAAACTGCCCAGATGTGAGGGATTCTTGTTCCGTTTTCATAGACTAAGGTCGTCCTGAAGCGGGGCACAAAGTAAAAATTAAAACCAGATGCCTCATTGCGCCTTCAATTTTGATGATACTCCAAGCACATCGACCAAGAACAAATAGTGGTATCAAAGAGCTGTGTAAGTGAGTTTGAAATTATAATCCTGTTGACATCTGCTGATTTTTCGCATCTCATTCCGCAGTTTCTGTCACGATTAGTTATCAAGCAAAATGCATCTAAAAACTGCAGCGACGCAGAGTGAGTTGAGTGGTTTTACATTTTTTCCATGGGATACTTGCTCCGTTTTCATAGAAAAAGACCGTCCTTAAGCGTGGCACGAAGACCAGAATTCTCATTCCGCCTTCAATTTTGATGATATACCTCAAGCACATCCACAAAGCACGAATAGTGGTATCGGAGAGCCGGGTGATTTTGAAATCCTATTCTTTCTGTCATCACTTGATGTTTCACATCTCTTCACGCAAGTGTTTGTTACGATTAGTCATGGAGTACATCGCGACAGGAACTTATTGTCCAGGAGTGTCGTGGCGCTCGGCGGTTTAATCGTCGAAACTCGAGGAAAACAACTTAGCGCGTCGCGACGCTGGACGCCGAGAAAGTTTTCTTCTTAGTTCCGTTCCGATCCCCGCGTTCCCGGTTCCGGTCAAGGACTTCCGAGACGCCATGAATTTCGCGCACCTGCTCCCCAGACGCGTCGCCCACTAGGAGAACGCTTTATTATCCCGAGTTTCGACGAAAAATTAATTACCTCCGGCTTAAATTACATTGCATCCGGCCTAAATTGCATTGCGCCCCGCCAGCGGGCTGATTGTTGAAATTGGTAGACAAAGCAATAGACAAAAAAGACGAAATGGGTATGGAGGGATCCGCATCTTATTGGTGGAGGCGAATAGTTGTAATGGACAAAAGAGGTAGGTAATAGACTAACAAGAACAAAAAATAAATAAATAAATAAAATAAAAAAAATGGACAAAATAAAATAATAATAGACTAACCCACAAGAGACCCTTAGTTAGACCATCATTTTCTCCCTTAGTCTATGAGAACCACCCATTTCAACCAACAGGATCGCTCCATCCTTCTTCTGTCCATTTTATCTATCGCTTTGTCTATCAATTTCAGCAATCAACCTATAGCGGGCTATAATTTTAAGAACATGATAGACAGAATGCACTGTGAAAAATAAATCAAGCATGAAATTCGGTGCTGAAGCGCTCACAAAACCCCCAATTGATATGAATGCGAAGTGAAAAAAGCACAATAAAAGCGCATGCATGATACTCTGCAAATAGAGTAGATTCCGATCTGTAATACACGGAAGAAAGTGTTAGGGATCAGCCTCTAAAATTGTGATACTACCCCATTTGCTTGGATCATTTCCGATTTATTGTGGTGGTACTGCGACTCAGGTTGGGGTAGTACACGCAACACATGGGTTAGTAACACAATTTATGAGGGTACAACGAAAATTAATTGGAAATGTCCTTATCATCCAAAAAATGAGGGTAGTGCAACAATTTTAGGGGATGACCCCTCAAACTTTTTTCCCATGTATGGCAAGTCACTCCTTAAGGAGAATTAATTTCGCTCCGCATTGATTTCACTCGGAGATTTGGGCGGTATATAGACTCCGGCACAAAAGAGCGACGCCAAAAACGACCGTTTTTTGGCACAATTTGGGCCAGAAGGGATTTTTCTGAAACCGGGCCCAAACGATACCTTATGATACCCTAAAACTCTGGTAAAAATTTTAGCTTGAGTATACGCCCGCTTTTTGAGAAATGAGGGGGCAAAGTTGCCAAATCGCCATCATTCTGGACAGCATTTCTACAGCAAAAAGACGGGGAAAATGGACGAAAAAGTCAAATCTTGGATGGGTTTGGGCTGTAAATGTTCTCATTGGGCCCCCAAGCATTTAACTGTGTTCAGTTTCAAAAATTTTGGTTGCACAGTGGTCCAAAATGGGGAGAAATCATCGACAAATCAGGATTCTTTGTCAAATTTTTAGAAATGGAAGTAAAACTGTCGGTCTGCTGCAGTTTTCATGGCTAACAATGTTCTTATTGGTCCTCAATGCATGAAAATGTGTTCAGCTTCACAATTGTACATCGCACAGTGGTCAAAAATGGGGGAATTAGTGGACAAATTAAGATCCTCTGTCAAACTGTTGGTCCCCAGTAGAGTTTAAATCCCGGAAAAATTCATGTTTTTATTTTTTTTAATTATTTATATATGTCAGACCGTATTGTTTATAGAACGTTGTTATAGAAAAGACTTTGTAGCATTATTTCAATAAAATATGCAAACTTTCAGAAATTTAATAAAAAGAAAGAAAAATGGAGAGAAAAAATGTAAAAAAGATTTAAATAGTCAAAAAAAGAATTTAAATAATTTTTCTGGGATCTAAAGTCTACTGGGAACCAATAGTCGTACATCATTTTTAGAAAGTTAGGCAGAAGATCTTGATTTGTCCACTAATTTCCCATTTTGGACCATTGTGCGATGAAAATTTGATAAACTGAACCCAATTGAATGCATTGAAGACCAATAAGAACATTGTTCCCCATGATCTCTGCAGGAGACCAACAATTTTACTTCCATTTTTAAAAAGTTTGACAAAGAATCCTTATCTGTCCACGATTTCTCCCCATTTTAGACCACTGTACGTCCAAAATTTTTGAAACTGAAGACAATCACATGCACGGGGGCTCAATAAGAACATTTACAGCCCAAACCCATCAATGGTGTAACTTTTTCGTCCATTTTTCCCGACTTTTTGTTGTAAAAATGCTGTCCAGGATGATGGCGATTTGGCAACTTTGCCCCCCCCCCTTTCTCAAAAACGGTGCGTATACTCAAGCTAAAATTTTTACCAGAGTTTTAGGGTATCATAAGGTATCGTTTGGGCCCGGTTTCAGAAAAATCCCTTCTGGCCCAAATTGTGCCATTCTTGGCGTCGCTCTTTAACTCAGCATTTCCAACAGTGTGATAGAGGAGACAAAGGGAAAATTGAAGGATCCTTGGATCACATTAGTCGAAACGGGCACTGGAAAAAAAAAAACACATTGGATCTAGAGTCCAAACTCTTGAAAACATTGATAAGAAAAAGGACTCTTGATTCAATCAGATGTAAGCTTAACTCAAAAGGAAATCCGCTCAAATTAAGAGGCTTGGTTCTTGATTTAAGCTTCAATCTGATTGAATCAAGAGTATTTTTTCTTGTCGATGTTTTTAAGAGTCTGGACTCTAGATCCAATGTGTTTTTTTCTCAGTGGGTGGTTGTTAAAGACTAAGGGGAAATGAGAAACGATATTTTCCACAAAGTCCAGTATTCACTGGAGTTACTTGACAGGTAGAAACGTTAAAGAGAGAAAAATTTACCGGAATTCCCTCAAACTTAGCCAGCAGAATAAGTTGCTCTGATTCTAATTTAGTGATCACGAAATCATAAACACAACAGTTTAGTGCCAATTAGCGAAAACATTTCGCACCACATGGTATTAAAGATACACCTTCCGCGGAAAAACTATCTTCTTCAGCGGGCCGATTATTAAAACTGATAGACAAAGCTATAGACAAAAACGACAAAAGGGATTTGGAGGGATCCTATTGGTGGAAACGGGTGGTCGCAATGGACAAAGGAGGTATGTAGACTAACTAACGGCAACCCACGAGAGACCCGACAGTTAGTCTATCATTTTCCCCCTTAGTCTATGAGAACCAACTATGTCAACCAATAGGATCGCTCCATACTCCCTATGTCATCTTTGTCTATCGCTTTGTCTATCAGTTTCAATAATCGCCCCGCAGAATGGAAGAAAATTCTGGCTCGAGGTTGGCTCTCGGTATCATAAACAGGTAGAACATCGGCAGTCGACACTAGGTACGATAATTACCTAGTTTTACTGCTGGAGCCTTAACGACACAACTCATAGTGACATCGGATCCTTGCGAATCAGTACGCATAATCGCTCTGGAGTGTTCATCGTCGAATTTTTTGACTAAAACGTCTGGCGAGCTAAGTACACTTATTTGTCGCGTGTGTTTGCAGAAATTGTGGACGGTTAAGGAAACTATCTCCGGTTTCAGGTTTTTTTTTATCAACTTCTCCATCTATTTATTTTGTCCTACTTCCCCTACTGTTGTTCTGATCTCCTACTTCCTTTTTTGTCTCTTGTTGGAGAATGCATATTACTTGCCAAGGAATTGTGATCGATATCGCAGAATTGGACGGGTTATTTAGATGTATTTAAATCAAAAGGAACTATATCCATTTTGACATGAGTCCTGAGATCCATAAGAATACATGCAGGACAGGGCTCATATTACAATGGGTATAGTTCCCTTAGATTTAAATAGTTCATTTAAATGGGTGAAACGACCAAAAGTCATATATTTCTCCGACATTTCTGTTCGAAAAAATCAACCAGTGTCCTATCTGCGATAAGAGTACGTTAACACAAGAAGGCTCTCTGACACTTTTAACAATTTTATCTCTTAAGTACCCAATTTCTCTAAATTGGGCAAGAGATAAATCTATTTGAAATTCTGTTAAATACCCCCTCTCTCTTCTACATAACTGCTCAGTACTGACATTTTAACAGAATTATGACGGTTGAATAGAATAATACGTTCCATGAAAATATTAAAAATATAGTTTGTGCCCTCACTCATGTTTTTTATCATAAGGAAACGCCTTGCGCTGGGAGATGTGGCTCTAAATTACGCCTTTCTCCCTCTGAGACAGAAATTCAAATATTAAAAAAGACATTTAAAGAGCAATTTTAGTACAATTATCAAAATATTATTTGTCTGTTTTGAAGGTTTATCCGGCGAGAAAAAATTACCATGCTGCGTATTTCTCTATTTTTGCTCACGGCTGTCATGATCATTTCTCAGACGTTTTCCCATGACGAGTGCATACCGAAGGGGTACAGGTGCTATCCAGAGGGAATCCCCTGTTGTCGCAAACTTGCTTGCGAAGTTCATATTTTCTCGTTGAGTGGTCGTGGATATTGCGTTGATGATTGATATCGTGGAGCTTACTGGAGGATTACATGAGTAACAACTAGAGTAAATATATTTTCAGAAAATTCAATAAAATCTTACAAAACCTAACCGATTGAAACAACGAATCGACGGATTCTGAATTGTGACTATTGTACTAGACTCCATTTGCACCCTCAAGTAAAAAATTGTCCTTGATTTTTCCGAAATTTCAGATTAATTTGCTTAAGGAATGCTCAATTAGGAAAAAATTGGGGACAAATATTAAGAAAAAATACCTAAAAAATGTTCAGGAAATTCGTACTTTATCAGGAAAAACTTTTGCAACGCCAGAATGTTCTTATCGCGGTCTCCCTCGGAAAAGCAGATTAATTTTTGACGAAGACAAAGTTAATTAATTTTAGACAAAGCTATGAGAAAAAAAGACGAAGGGGAAATGGAGTGATCTTATTGGTGGAAACGAGTGGTTGCAATGGACAACGGCGGTGAATAATAGACTAAGTAAAGGCAACCAACGAGAGACACGACACTCAGTCCATCATTGACTCCCTCAGTCTAAAGCCACTATCACCCGTTTTCACCGATAGGATCCATCGCGTTGGATATCATGTTCAATAATCAGCCAGCTTTAGTACTATGCATGCCGATTGTGAAAATGCAAAAGAGCGTAATCAATTCCGTTGTTTCAAAACCTCTTCTAGCATTTTATTTCACCAAAAATGGACGAATCAACGTTATCACTTGAAAATTTCAAAGAATATTCTTCACACAGACGGGAAAAATCAGGGAGGTTTATCAGAGATGGTTTGAGTATTTTTCAGTTTAAAACGTAAATTATGAGAGAAAATCTGCAGCGCTGCAAACCAAAAGTACGTATTTTTGCAGTTTCATCGTTGATGTTCTCTAATCAGACTATTCGTCGCATCTCTGACGTAAGGACGTAACTCGATTTTCGCGTGAGCTCCAGAGAGCATGCATTTACATGTAAATTAGGGCTCACGTGAATATTGAGATACGTTCTTACGTCAGAGAAGTGACGCACAGTGGATCGAGTCAATTAGGGCGGTCGGGCATTACATTTATGACTAAAACTGCAGTTTGATGTTTAAATCATCACATTTTAAATTTCAAGAGGAGCTTGTGGATGAAAATGTTGCGAGGAAACCAATGCAACCACTTTTAGAACCTCAAAATTGTGTATAAAGGAAGTTATAAGCGTTCAAAGGTATTAAATTTTGTCCAACCTCTCCTATTGACTCGATGCACTTAGTGCGACGTATTGCATTTCATTGTGAGACAAAGTTAAAGGCAAAAATGTGTAAGACTGGAGTGCCCTCTATACGTTGCTAAGGTAAATGTACTTTTCTCCATCATTTATTCCATTTAATATTAACACGGAAAATGCGTCGCCATAATTATTTGTACTTCCTTTCACTTATCTACGACTCGAGATAACAACAAACGCAGTATATATCTACACCATAAAATAGCAACAAATGGTTTGAGGAGAACCTATAAAAATGAGAGTCTTTCAAATTGTGAGAGAAGTGTTTTCGACCGCATGGTCCCTTCATACGCACACTGATAAAAATGACCCGTTTAACCAGACTTGACGGGTTAATTCCGTAAGTGAGCAATCCATTTCGTGTCCTTTGTTGCAATATATCCGATTGGCCTTCTTTTTAGCCCAGCACTTCAGTAGACTGTAACATTGGATAGATTTGACCTTATTCAGCAATCAATGCGCTAGGGGTAATCGCACGGAAACCAAATACAGCAAACGGAGAAAAAGCTATGGCTTGTTAACCAATAGTGGTCCATATGGAACACCACTAATAGTATTAAAGGCAGCATATATTAATAGCACACGAATACCTTAGTGATGGTATATTACTTTGGTATGGTATTAGTACCTTAGTATGGTTACAGACCGAGAATTAGTAGTTCATTAACGACTTTATAGTGGTGGACGACTATAGTGGTCACATAGTTCCATTTGATTTAATGTGAAACTCGCTTGCCGCTTTTCCGTTTCTCTAAAGGGTATCACTTCCACTTTCACGTTGTTTCCTATGCAACTTTCTGGAGCACACCCCATCTTTCCCACGCGTGTATAGTTCTGTTTGGCAGAAATACGTCCAGCTGGCCGATTATTGACATGTTGTGTTTGTCGGGCGGACATAGCTTTTGAACGCCGGAGCATGATTGGTCGGCTATGTCTTATCACTGTTTTGCCGTGCCTTTGTCGATATACGATATACGATATACTGTCGGGCTCAAGAGGTGCCTTTAGCTTGTCGTGAATTCTACCCGACAAAGGCACGACAAAGCAGCGATAAGACATAGCCGACCAATCATGCTCCGCCGTTTAACCTATTTCCGTCCGACAAACACAAAATTTCTGTAATCGGCCCGCAGTTGTGTTCAGAGTGCCTTGCAAGAAAAGAGAGGGGGAATGGGTCAGAAGTCGAATAACGCCACGTATACCCTTGAATGGCCCTTATAGAGAAAAAAAGGAGGTGTCCGCGTCACTGGAAAAAAAACCACATTGGATCTAGAGTCCAGACTCTTAAAAACATTGACAAGAAAAAATAATCTTGAATGAATCAGATTTTTGGGAAATCCGCTCAAATTAAGAGAATTGGTTCTTGATTTAAGCAAAAATCCGATTGAATCAAGAGTAGTTTTTCTTGTCGATGTTTTTAAGAGTCTGGACTCTAGATCCAATGTGTTTTTAGTGATCTTGA